TTGATGTGTTCTACTTAAAAATCTCTTTGAAACAGAAAATTTTAGATCTCCTTAAAAACTCTGTTCCCACATTTATAAAGTGTAACAGTGTCTGTTACGTGAGCTTCTGTATAAAAGGAAAGATATGATTGCATGATTGCATTGCATTCTCAGCTGGGAAAAAAAAAAGCATACTTATTTACTCCAGAGATTAGGATAACCCAAGATTATTGTAATACAAGTTATACAAGTATTATTTTTCTGAGAAATAGGATTCCTTAAGATCAGTATGTTACTTATTCATACAGTCAAAATTTAGATAAATATTTAAGTCCTTTTCAAGGTTCTGTTCCCTTATTTAACAGTCCTCATTATTAGGAGTCATCCTTATAGGGAATTTAAAGCTTTCATCTCTGTTACTGCTTTTTCTTCTCCTGAGTGAATTTAGGGCAAAACTGATCATTATCCTAAGTAATGGGTGGTTTCACTTCTTCTGTTTCCGAGGTGCATTACCAAACATTCCAAGGGACCATGCTCTCATAAGATCAATTTTCTGTTCTTTTAATCATTTTTGGTTACATGGGTTATAGAAGCTGGATACTTGGCTTGCTCTAGCCATGACGACATGGGAAACTGAACTACAACCTTGAGAATAATTTTTCCCAGTGGGACCATAATTACTATACCATTCTTATCAGATTTGGTGGAGGTTTGGTAAAGCATTACAAGAAGCTTTAATGCAGACTGAATTTGTTTATTACGAAGATTTCTCTTCACCCCTTCATCATAACAGCAGCAACAAAAAAAAATGTTTTTCTGTTTTTAAAGGCTTGCAAATAATAAATCATTTCTGTGTAACTTTCAGATGTAGTTTATTAAAATAGCCTTTACCTTTCAAAACAGACTAAGTGATCTGATACCTTAAAATATCAAAGGGAATTCAGGTATCGTTAGTAAATTAGTAAATAGTTCTGAGGTTACAAGAGAAATTCCTTTGCTTCTTCAAAAAAAAAATGAAAAATGTCTATGGTAAAATTAACCCTCATATTTAAAAAAGAAAATAAAAGATAAAAACTAGTTAAAAGTCTAGAAAGTATAAGGGATATTATAATGTGAACACTGGTCGTGAACACTGGTCATGAGACCTTAGCATTTTGTTTAATTTCTATAACTCTCTTTATATGCAAAATAACCATCTTAGTACCTAAGACACAATGTGTATATAGCATATGGTACCTGGCACAAAGTGACACTGTGTTTGTATCTACTGTTTGTTTATCAGCATTGTTACTTTAAAAAGACAATGATGCTGACTGGTCTGTCCGCACCCAGGCCCAGTGCCCACGGAGGTGACGCCCCTGGGGATTTCCGCTGAAAGAGACTTTGACACCTTCTCTCCAAAATTCATTTTTCCCTAGGACATCTTTTGTTTTTTTAACATTGTTATGTCTGTCTGTCCATGTGTATGTAAAACTCTGCATTACCTTCTGTTTTTCATAAAATATTTTGTAGAACTTTAGAAACCAAAAAAAACCCCCGCAGAGATCAGCCAATTCAATCTCCATAGGTACAGATGTGAAAAATGAATCTACATACAATGGCCTTGGTTATTCATTACAGAAATATGAGTATAAAAACATACTTGGGATGAAAAGCATAGTTTACATTAATTCAGAGAAATTCATAAAATAACAGAAAATGCAAAGAAGAAAATTAAGTTTTCTGTAAAGCTACTATATAGAGATAACAATCAATATTTCGCATACCTGCATCCAATCTTTGTTTACAGTACATACACACACACACGTACACAATAAGAAGACTGGCATTATGCTATACTTTCACCACCTGTTTTTCTCAAAATATATACAATACACTTGTTCTACACTGTCAAATACCTGTCTGAATGTGGTGACCAATAGTTGCAACAAATTCCTTTGTTTCATCACTTATGTAATCTGTTTCAGCACTGATTTGTCATGTAGGTTGCTTTTCACATTAATTATCAGGAAAACGCTGCTGATCATCCTTGTTTTTAAATTTTTGCACATTTCTGATTCATAAAAAATGAATATGTAGCCACTGAATGTTAATGGACTTTTATATCCTTTGACAAATTGTTTTCTATATAGATGATACCAATTTACTCCCCTACCAGGATTATATTAGATCTGCCATTTCCCCAAATGCTCTCAGACATTATAATCATTTTTTTAAACGTCACAATTTGATAAGCAGAACGTGGTATCTCATTGTTGCTCTAGTATTCTTTTGATTACCAGAAAGTTCTAACATTGTCATTTATTCATGGGTCGTGTGTAATTTCCATAATTTCTTGATAAGTAGCTCCACTACGTAATTGTTTCTCAGCCCCAGATTCTTTGACACAGTGTGCAGAGGTCTTCCCGGTCAAATGCTACCATTCATACTTATGTGTTTCTCTCTCCTCCAATGTAATGTTTTGAATTTGAATCTCAGTGTTCAGGAAGCTCACCTTCCCCCTCATGCCCCACCTTTTTTCTCCATCCCCTGAGTGAAATGAGCATAACATTTCCAGCAAAAAACCCAGAAAAATCTACTCATGCCTCCGTGGTTCACATATTTGGAAACGTAAGGCTGTGTCATTTCAGTCGTGTGAAAGTGACTTCAACACACATGCAGAATTCTTGTACTAGGAACAAATCTGGAAAACAGCGGACCTCACTTAAAATGGTTCTACTATAAGTTATGACCATGACACTTTCTGAA